TAGTAATCAGAGTAAGATATGTGTTGCAGTCTTACCCTTCTTGCCCATTGGACCTAGACTACCTCTATGGCAGTCAAACAATAGTATGCGAGATGGCTGAACACACTAATTTGTGCCAGAACCCAGAATAGTCAAGAGTCCGACTAAAGTAGTGGCATGTACACTGTTTCATATGAAGTTATGTGAATTGCACATCCACAGGTATACGGAACAAATATGTTCTGAAATCACAATGGTGAACACATTTGCCATAAACAAAGTAAGACATGGCACATGCATATTCAGACAGCCTTTTCCCAGAAAGGGCCAGTACCCTGATTATTTGTGATGTTTAACATTACATTGCCAGCTGAGCTTCTGACCTATCTCAGGGTGAATTGATTTGGATTTTTAAGCCCTAATTCCTTAGTAGAGCCACGAATCTTGTGAATTGCCTGACAGTCTATTTCACTTATGAGATGACTGATAAACTGGTCTAAATAATGTGCAAGAAGCATGCATTGGAAACACACATCATCATATGAAGCATGAACAATGCATTGTTCAAGTGGTTGCTTTATCAACTGCTGATAAGTTATGAGGCTGCCAAGATTAGACAGTGATCCAACTGGAATTCTGGATGAACCTTTAAAACAAAATCAATCAACACAATCATGAGATGTAATGTTTTTATTATTATGTATTTTGAGTTTGGATTTATAATTTTCAAATTTTGTTTCATGTGTTTTACACTTTTTATATATAGCACGTGACAGACCAGTTTTGTAATTTTTAGGATTTAATTTTGATTTTGGGTTTTTTGAATTTTATAATGTAATGCAATATTAATTTTATTTTGTTTTTCTAAGTGATTGCTGGAGTTTATGTTACCATCTCATTGTATCTGTGTGGGTATCATGATATTTTACTTGTTACCCAAAGAAAATGATTACAGCATTTTGACCTATAATTAATTTGTCCATTAAGGTTAAATTTTTGGATGAGGATGTCCCCGAGAGAAAAAAAAAATAGTATTGTCATAGCTGGAATGAATTTTAATTTTCCATAAGTAGTTTAGAATATATCTATATTCAGGTTTATTCATGTAATTTGTCTAAATATTTGTGTTCTGCACATAGTTATTAACCAGATGTCAAGAAGTTGGAAATGTGCTACTATTTTTGTTTAGGTAAAGGCTGCATATGGCAATGACTAGACACTTGCATTACTTTGCCACTGCATCCAAGTCCACTCTTTAAAGCAGCAAAGCCCATTTCAAAGGGTGACACAGATACTTGTACAATTCATATAAGTTTGGGATTTTTCTCCCCTATAAATGTTATTTGAAACAGTTGTTTGTGTATGCAACATTGTGTTCTAGTAGCTGCACTTTTAACATTTTTGCCTGAATTTGGGTGGTAAAACAGAATTTTTCTTTTCCTATCCGACACAGAAACAAGACTCCTCTCAACCCCAGCAGCTAATAAAAATCTCAGAAGAAAAGCAACAAGCCAGCCAGTTTGTGAATTAAAGACAAATATTTTTCACTGAAAATAAAGATTTTGTTTCAGTTGTTCACTTGTGTGTGTGTGTTTGATCTTTTCTTTACTGTCTAAGTTCAAAGTCATTCTTTGCATTACATTTTCAGAATCTGCATTCTTGCAAATAATTTTAAATTTACCTGTTGAATGTACTTGAATATCATACACACGTTTAAATTTCTAGTCTTTACATAATTTCACATTATATACATAAAAAAAATGTCCTACAAATATATTTCCACTTTAAACATGGCAATACATTTAATTTTATGGGCTTGTACATTTTAAGAACAAAACCTTTATTTTAAATTTCACATGTATTTTTGTACATATAAGTAGAGTTTAAGATAAATTTTTGTCATGCATTGTCCAACTCAACTGAGGAGTTTTTGTATTTCAATCTGAACAGCACTTTATGCAAAATATGAGTTGAATGGCCTGGTAAAAAACCACTAAGGTCCTGGCACGAACATCCCTAATTTAGAGCTGCCAAATAGATGAAAGGTAACTATGCAGTAACAGTATCTGTCACCTATGTGACTACTCTTTAACTCTATCAACATCTGTCACAGGGCAAAGGCCATGTCATTGCTTTTGTTGACTTGCATTCAAAATTTTATTGAACTACTATTTTATGAATTTATGTCAATAAGTTTGGTATCAAATTGTAGATTATAATTCAAATTTTAGTATTATACCTTACTCAATTTAAAAGTAAATATTAAAAAACACACCTAAATATTGATTTCTGTGTGTCTCGTACGTTGAATGCAGCATTGGTTCAAATTAGATGTTTATGATGTTCAAATGCAAAGTCTGTAGTTTCTTACAAATTAGGAACTCAAATTACCAATACTGACAAGCTAAAATATCGTGACAATTACTGACTCAAACACAGTGGTCCTGCCCACCTCTTTCCATTTTTTAAACGCTAACATACACCTACTTATGTCTATGACGTGTGAATAACGAATTGAAAGCTTTCTCAGCCTTTTTAAAGTATTCAGGCAGCAAACTTTTTCTTTTTATGTCAGATTCCAAGTGGTAAGGTAAGACTTTAGTGAGCTCAAAATTTCATAGTTTCTTACACCCAAATACAGCTTAATTACTAAGCTTAATTTATTTATGGTGGAATTCAATTGTATTGATATAGTAATTTATGATATTTGGTTATATCAAAATGTATATATAAAACCTAAAAAAAATCATTTCATTTCACATCTTCCACATGCAAAAGTTAATTAGGCTTAGCAACCTATGGCAAGCAGCAAACATGTACAAAGTTTTGTAACTAGAAGAGATAACTGTTTGCTTTACTTCTTTATTACTGTTCTACGTTTTAAGAAAAATAAGTTTAAAAAGTTCTTTGTAAATAGTAATAATGTAAATACACATATAATGTATTTATAACTGAAATGTGACTGTATTTTACAAAATACAAGCCAACTAAAACACAGCCAAGGCAGGTCACTTTGTAAAGGCCAGTTTTATATTCTTGGATATGGTAACATGAGTGCATGTGTGTTGCATCATTGCAACTTCTGTAATGTAATCCAGGCACAGCTGAAAGGTCAATATAATAAAAATAATAAATATATATAAATGTATAATGTTATGAAATTTAAGCTATTTAGACTAAATACTTGTGTTTTTGTGCTATAATTTGTAATCATTCTAGAATGAAAAAATCATAATTGATATTTATTTCCTAATTTTTTATTGTGGTTTCGAGGTCGAACAAATTGACCAAACCCATACATATGTTTATTAGTGAAAATAACAGATAAAATATAAAGTTTTTTTGTTAAAAAATGTTTGATAATTATCTGGAAGTTATAAAGATTTCACATGTGAAATCTGAACATTTTCTGATGCATAAAAGTATTTTGAATCTTAAAATAAAAATTACTTTGCATGTTGGATAGTCAGCATTTGAAAATAAAAAAGGCATGAGAAAAACATTACTTAAAAAAGCTTAAAAATTAACTGCAAAATCTGATATTTTGTGTTTACAAAACTCTTGTAATGTTCATTTATAATCTGCAAAATATGCTTACTAATTAAAACGTTATAGCATGAAAAGTATAACAAGCACAAGATGGTTATGAGGTCAGCCCATACTGAAAGAGTTAACCATATTGTGGAATTCACAGTCACAGTTATATTGCCACTACCACTGAAAGTGTTAAGTGGGTTCAGCAATTATTGTGACTAAACTTTGGACCTTCAGGTACAGAGCCCAGCATGCCAACCATTAGGCCATGCTCTGTATCAACTCTTATTTGAGTATAATAAAAAAGATACTGCATATAAATTTTTCAGTTCGGTACACCAATACCAAAAAACTAACTTTTGTTAGTCGAACTAAACACAAATAATTTAGTAAACTTCTTCAATTTCAACTTGGATATTTTCCCAGTGTGTGTAAATGGGGTCATTTGATTATACATATCTAAAGTAATAATAAGAAATGTTGGTTTACTGTGACTTCAGAAACCAATGTTAAAAAATTCACAGTTCAAGAAATAATAGTTGAAGACTATGTGCTAAAAGTTTGATAGTTGAGATTAGTTTCAATCTCAAACTTACCAGCCCTAATAAGTAAAAAGTAAATATGAGTTTCATAAATACATTTTACATAACTTTGTTTGAAACCCTCCCACCAAATTTTTAAAATCTACTGTATTTGGAATAAAATTAAGAAAACAAATCATCTAATTTCTGGATGTTGTTTAATTTTTATTGCTCTTTGTGGTTATGCAAGACCTGAAGGAATCAGCATGTATTAAATTGTTTTTTTGAAGTCAATAAGAAAGATCCACAGAAAGTTTAGTCCATATGTTGATCACACTGCCTAGATCCACTTACAAAAATAAAAAAACACTTGTTCTGAATTGGTGAATAAAATAAAACTATTACATATTATCCTTTCTATTTTGAGAACTGTAGATCCATTTCAGATTTTCAGTGTTACTGTAAACGTTGCTTACCCAAAGAATACGCAATTGATTTGAAATTCGGGGTATAGGTCAAAGCATTTGATCAAAAAGGTCTACGTTATCAGATTACCAGAATAAGAGTCTATCTTCTTATCTACCTTAAAGTTCAATCCACTGACATAGCCTTGTACAAAAATCAGAAAATGAGACTAGAAAAGGAGATAGGGGTAAATTTTGGGTGAAAGCAAGTAGCCTTGAGTATGCTGAATCTGAAAATCTAGGTTACCCAATTTTCTTCTTCAAATATTTCTAATTTTCATTTAACTTAGTACAGTACCTGTAATTTAAGTATATTTCATACATTAAAAGGTGGTATAATACTGACTCAAATCCAAATAATTATAATTTACTAAGTGAATCACTTAACATGAAAAATGTTTTTATAAATTCATTACCAATATTATTTTAATGTATGCACTGAATAAATACTGAATATGGAAATTTATTGTGTTAATACAAGTTGGGGGGGGGGGGGGTAATAACACTGTGTAAATACAAGTAATATTGTATTTGTTGTATTGGAACATGTGGATGTCAAACACAAGAATGAAGTTGGCTGTCTATGTAAATAAGGTGCATACAGGAGCATCATGCAAGTAAATACTATATGCAAAAGTGTTTTTGTTTTTTTACCTGTAATGCATTTTCATAAAACAATGGTGTAAATAAACGACCTTAGAGACAGAGGAAGATGGGACTTTTTATTTTTGAAGGTTTAAAAGTTCAAAATTTTTAAACAACCACAATAAATTGTCAAAATTTGAGTTCTTATGATTTTTTTTGGCTTGTAAAAACCTATTTGATGTTTTCCTTGATACATACAAGTTTGTAAGTCAATAATGTTCAGCCCAAATCAAGTTAGCAATGATGCATTTCTCTCTTTATCTCATTTCTACCATCAAAACACAACTTTTGTTATAGTTCACTAAATAGAAATATACTAAATGCAAACTATTACTTTAAATACCTAAAAATCAAACAAACTGGCAGTAAACAGCAATTTGCTAGGTTTTATGAAAGACATAAAAGCTTTTTTCTTCAATTTATAACCCAAATTCTAAGGATTATAGAAGGAAAACACCTATAATATTCTTACATTTTGAATCTTGCCTGAAAAATGAAAATTTGGTAACCTAAATCATTTGATTCAGCACATCCAAGTTAGTTTGAAAAACATGGTTACCAATTCCCTCCAGATGTCACTACCTGTCTCAATTTCTGATTCAGTACCAGGCTAACACAACTTGTACAAGCTCTGATTCACATTTGATTTAAAGCCATGTTTTAAGCTTCAGAAAAATTCAAATAATATAGACACTGGTAAAAAAAAATTTATTAGTAAAATTAGCAACATCTAAGATAAAAAAATTATGTAAAGCATGCAAAAAATACAACTAAAGTACAATTTATATGAATTTTATCTTTTTAAATTAAAGGATACTAATGTTGCTGTAACAGTAGTATCATTAAGTGGTCACTTATAAATCGTGACAACATGATATTAAAATACTTGATTTCACAGACCAGTAAGTAATATTTGTTCTGCATCTTTTACAACAATGATGTTGAAGCAGAAGAACTTGGAATTGGTAGAGCTGGAGGGTCTCCTTTAACCCACTGTGAAAAGAGAATACAGATCATTAAATATTTAGAACTGTTTTCTTTATATTTTACACATAAGAAAGTAGAAGTAGTAGACAAATACATTATCTCTGCCTATTATTAAAACTTCAAAAATTACAAAAAAATTTCAAGAGTTAACTGACTAGTACTTTTATATAAAAATAACATTCTTTGAAAAAGTTTATGTAAAAGAAGTTTTTATTGCTAAACTCTCTTTGTGTTTATAATGAAAAACTCAAAGCATATTCTTAGAAGCTGAAGTCAGTATGCTCGAGTTTTTCTAATGAAGAATATTTCTAGCCTCTTTACTATTAATTCTTCTGAATGTACATTTAATTTAAGCGATTTACTACACGTGTCACAAACTTCCGGCTTTTCTTAAAACTAATCATTCTGGTTGTTTGTAGTTGTAGTAGATCAAGTCATAGTCTCTATAAGGGCTTTATTAGGTCTGTGAATTAATTTATCTCAAAAAGGATATATTAGTAGATATTGTCATTAATTCATGGAATCACCAGTTCTGAAATATCCGTGCATTTTGATAAAGTTACTTTTTTCTAAGTTTCTACTACATGTTTAGATGTTCTTATTATTTCAAATGATATTATAAATGTTGTGTAGGTGGCCTCTGTACAAGTCAAGAATGATGTGCATGGCTTTTTACAATTCATGAAATTGATATGTTTTAGAAACACAAATTCACTATTCTAGAACAAATTAAAAATGATTAACAATTAGGATAATGAATAAATTAAGTAACATATTTTGAACCATCAAAAACGTGGCTTATGTTACAGTAGATTGCATGCAAGGTAAGTTACAATGTCAGAGATTTAACATGTAAAAATTTTTTTATATCTTTTATGATCTCAATACAGTCTTCTATAAGTTTGTTTGTCTGTTGTTGATAACAAAGCTATATACTAGACTATCTGTGTTCTGCCATTTGCGGGTATCAAAATTAAATTTTTTAGTGTCACAAGTCCCGACTTACCACTAAACCACCAGAAGGGGTGGGGTTCTTCTGTAAGTACTGACAGCTATACTAAAGATATTTGAATATGAAGTTGGAAGACATCAAGTGTTTCTGAGTAAAGTCTGAACAGAAAGTCTACACGTGATGTTTCATACACACATATGTTTAACATGTAATAATATACATGCACTATCCACATATTTCAATGAAACAAAAAGTTTAAAAGAGTTAATTTTTCTTTTATCCTAATTTATTAAAATGACTTTAAACTACTTAAATATTTACACTTTTCTTCTTGTTTCTATCCACCTAATTAACTCTCAAGTAGGATACCAGTACAAGTTTTTACCACAAAACATTTCTTACGTTCAATACTGATCTTAAAAATAATTTATTTTCAAGCTCATGATGTTTAGAAGTAGCCCCACATTAAATGTTTTTCTTTAGAATTTGTATAGCTTTTAAGTCTTAAAATTTTTTCTTTTTTACATTTATAATTCTTACATGACATTTAGCTTTACAAAGAAATTACATATGTAAACCACAGGCAGTAAGTGAAATGTTAATATATTTTCTATGACATAATTTGAGTGTCAGTGATGTAGAACAAACATATAGACATTATAAAGATGAAGAATAGTTTTTTGCTATTACATCAATACATCAGTAAAAAAATAGAACTTGGCAAAAGGTTATTTAATACACGACTATTTATGTAATATGTACAGTTTCAGTAAAATGCTTGAAACTAAATAAAAAATGTAAGGTTTAGAGGTGAGATTGCTCTATCAGTGAGATATTTTACTCTCCTGTATCAACTTTTGATATTAACAGTGAGTTACTTGATCATAGCAAAGAACTACTAATAAGCAACCATAATTTATTTATTCACTTTCAAAATGTCATCGTGTTGGAAAATAACTAGATAGTCTAACCACCCATTCAAGTGACCATCTTTAGACCAAACAAGCCAGATAACAATACCAATGAACAGGTTCAAAATGTTTAATTGTGCATAAAAAAAAAAGCAAATGTTGATGTGACCAGTTTGGTGCTTGTGAAATATCAAAAGAGATTTTTAAAAATAAGCTACTTCTCAGTTGTATTTTCAATAAATAAATTTCAGTAACTGAATATCCGAGGTTTAAAAAAACGGTGTCAGTAGTCGAGTTTACTAACAAAGACAAATCTGTGCATGAACAACCGCTATAAGGTGACCCTGCTTGTGTTCTATTCAGATGCAAGTGATTACCTATTAATCTTAAATCAGCCAGTAAAAATGGCACATTCTAATTACATACAGAACAAGGAAATTATCAGTCCCAAGTTTTCTCAGTAAAAATAACACCAAAGTTCTTTAATATTTAGTATGATACATTAAAAAGAAATTTCACGCAATTCTTACAAAAAAAAAGGTTTCCCCTTCTTTCCTATCTGAATATCTTTCAGTAACATAAATTGTATTTGTCAAACTACAGATATACAAATATAAGAAAACTGAAATCTGTGAAGTAGGTCACAGCAATTAGAAATTTGAACATATGACAGCCAAACATATTTTGTATTAAGGAACACCATATATTGGCTATGAACTTTGTAAATAGTTTTACACAATTGATATTTAGAATGCTAAAATTGTTTTCATTTACTTATAAAAGGATTTTTTAACTTCACAAGAACAATGTTTATCCATTTTTACTTGAGAATATGAAATTGTACACAAACTAGAATGACAATGCCACATATTTAAAACTCAACTAAAATTATATGTAAAATTGAAACTAGTTTTAAAAGTAGAAGAAATTTTATTGACTGAAATACATTGTAAGGATTGAAATATGCATAATAAACAAATGTTTTATTAATTCTGAAACACCTTTTGTTATCTAGATTAAAGTGTCTCAGCACAGAGAATAATACAAATACGACAAGTTTTGTTTTCAATCTGGATCAGATGATGATTAGTAAACCACACAACTCAGACGAAATGGTTATTAGCAAGCTGAAAGATTTGTTGAAATAATACAGAATATTGATCAGTTGGTTATTAGTAAGATCAATAACAATATTTTTTTACCTGGATTAGATGATGTTCAGCCAGTTGAGAAGCTTGAAAGTGATCCTTCAGTAATAGCTGAGAAAAATTACTGTGTGTATGTACAGCTTCTTGCTCACGCATTCGATCACCGCATAATCGGTACAAGTCTGTGGTGTAAAGCATAAAACTTTAAACAGGCCAGAAATCTAAAAAAAATTATTTCAACTTTTGGCAACAACTAAGTAAAAATCTGTTTAAGAAATTTTTTAAAATACATCGAGAAAGGTGAAAGTCAGTAATAATGTTTTGACCTAAAATCTTTGAATTTCTTTACCTATGTCATGTTTACCTTATCCAGTAAAATTTAAAATCAACTAATATGATCAGAAAATCATTTTTACCCTTGTCATACCTCACTGATGGAAATTTCAATTTTCACATAACAGTACACCAGGTTGTCATATCACACTTACAGCCACTGTCTAATTCACTGGACATGTCATAAATGATTGTATCGGCTTCCTTAACACCTTTAAGTATGGATGTTGGTCTTTTGAGTCAAGTTCCTTGTGCTGTGCGAGTTCAGTGAACCACACTGCTGAGCCTATGTTTGCACAGCACTCCACTACACTTAAGCCTACATGAAACAGGCAATACGAGACTGACACACGTTGGCCACTCTAATCTTACATGGATATTCCCTAACGATGGAATTCTTGGTCAATCCAGTCAGATTAAACTACCAACTGAGACCTGTAAAAATCTGATCTATTGGCTGCTTCACATGTGCTTCACAAAAGATCTGTTCTGTTATGACTGATATGGTTTCTCATTTTTGCATCTAACACCTGGCACAATGTCAGTACAAACCTGATATGGTTTCTCATCTTTGCATCTAACACCTGGCACGATGTAAGTACAAACTGTTTTTTATAATTGTAACTTTTGCTGCACGAGGCTCCAGCAGGAATAATAATACCATCCATAAAAAAATACTGAACTTGTTTAAAGTTGGTGCTCCTATTAAAATGTGGATGCAAAGTACAAAAAAATAACCTTAAACTGAGTAAAACTGCACAAATGGGCCATAATAGGATTTGATATACAAGAAAAATAAGGGTTGTGGCAACAGAAAAGTTCTTTTCTGCACATATATCCTATAGTAGTTTCATTATATGTGAATTTTAAGAAATATTTTTCAGTCATCACTTCTGGCAAAGCTTCCATTGATATTTAAGTTCCTGTTAAATTTGAAGATTTTATACTTATGCTTTAAACATAAGGATTTTATGTTCAACTAAACGACATAGAATGGCTGATTTTTGAATATAATTTCAGAATACAGGGACAAAATAGTTCTAAAAGGTAACACAACATGTTACACTTGGGAAATGAGAATGACTGCAACAACTCTGATGTGGAGCAGAATAACTTATAAAATATTGTTGAAGAAAATATTTATATTTAAGCTAAGTGGATTCCAAATGGCACTAAAAGTGTTTACTTTTAATGTTTCTTGAAATCATGTTCCTTAGTAATTTTTTTTAAAGATTATTTACTGTGATTAAATCACTATACAAGTTTTTTGATATCTTTATGAAGAATGTGGATTAAGCATGGTATTCTTAGTAACTTCTAAACACCAGTAATGTATAGCACCTGGATAAAAATATCCCACTGTTAATGTTTTGAAGAAAAATATTTTTATTCATATAATAACATACTGGTTTTCATGATAATATGTAACACGAGTCTAAGCCATCAGCTGTAACTGTATGTAATTATGTAAGAATAAGGAGAATGGTTTTCTTTTTCATATTTAATTCAAAATTCGTATTCTTATCATGATACTAATACACATACATTTTGGTAATAACTTCTTCATTCTAAAGATTTAAATCCCAGCTCACAACTTTCTCATACAAAATGCTAATTTTTTTACAGAAGCCAACAAATGAAACTGGAGTACTTTAAAAAAAATAATGTCGTACCTTTAAGAAGAGCAGAAGCCCACAGCTGAACATGAACGTCAGGTATTTTACTGGCCAACTGCATGGCTGGAGTAACCATGTTTGTGCTTTCCTGCAAATAGATTTATTGTTTATTGTCACTAAGAAAAATTCATTAGTTTTAAACATTTACAATATTTATGATTGTATACAAATTTCAGAATAAACTTTCATGTACTTGTATTGCAAACTCAATGCATTATAAACTGTATTTGTGGTGTCATATGCATTTTTGTTTTAGAATTTTACAATATGAACAAGCATGTAAACTATTTTTGGAGGCAAAGAAAAATAAGATATAATATCAAACTTACTCGGTTATTTCCCAAAGAGTAAAATATATGACCTAACAGAACGAGAGAGCATGAAGTAAGACGGTTTAAGTCTTCACCATTGGCCATCTTCAGTGTTTCTCTAAGATATCGCCTATTTGAGGGGAAAATCAACATTAAATTGAAATATTTTTTCCAAAGATATTACTTTAACATAAACTCTACTCATTTTTCGTATGAAAGGTGAATCAATGAATTCAGGTTTAAAACACATAGCATACTTCAAAGAACAGTTAAAAAGCTAGAATATTTCTCTGGTGTATTAGAAATATTAAATGTAAAAGGAATAAATAAGGCAAATATTTAAATAAGTAAATCAGTAAAGGTGATAGAGAAATCTACCTTCAGGATATGCTGAAGTTAAAATTCACAAACAGGTTTAAATTATCATATAAAATGTTTGTCTGAAGAGCCCCTTGATCAATGGATTAATTTTTTTTAATGATAAATATATCAAAAACATATATGCAAGAAATTCTTGGGCATAGAATTATTTTTATGACAGATGTATTTGCCTTTTTATTTCATTACATTTTAATTACTTACTTAGCATCATTGTAACGAGCCTGGAAAAATGCGTTTAGGCCATGGACATAATATGCAGCCGCCCGCAGACTGTGAGAACTAAAAAACAAAGTAATTTTCATATATAACCAACTTGTCCAAGTAAATAAGAACAAATATACACAACTGTAAATATACAAAAGCCAGTACAGCCATCTTCAACCTTGATATTAATATTTATAACCTTTGTTATATGTTTATCAGTTTTGACTAAGCTTTTGAGTTGAATTTCATTCTAAAGAGATATATGTATAACATTGAGACTGTTTATGTACAAGTGAGGTGTTGATTATTATTTATCTTTTAAAATTCTGTACTTGGTGTACAAGTGACGACAATAAAACCCATATGTTGGTTGTGAAACAGACTAAATACATTCTTCTCAACAACACAGGGGAGCTATGACAGTCTCACAGTTGGGGTC